CCTAGTGCAGCCCAGGATGATGTTCACCACCTTGCCTGCAAGAGCACATTTGCTGGCTCATGGTCAACCTGGTGCCCACCAGGACGTCTACGTCCTTTCCTGCCAAGCTCTCTTCTAGCCTGATAGCTGCCAGTCTGTACTGCTGCATGGTATTATTCCTGCACAGGTGCAGGACCTGGCATTTTCCAGTGATGAAGTTCACAAGGTTCCTGTTGGCCCATTTTGCCAGCCTGACAGGGTCCCTCTGAATAGTAGCATGACCATCTGCTCTATCAACCACTCCTCCCTGTTTTTTATCATCTGCAAATTGCTGAGGCTGCACTCCAGGCCACCATCCAGCTGATTAATGAAGAAGCTAAACAGTACTGGCACCTGTACTGACCCCTTGGGTACACCGCTAGTGACTGACCACCAGCTGGACTTCATGTCACTGATGACAAACCTTTGGTTCCAGCAGTTCAGCAAGTTTTCAGTCTGTCTAACCATGCACTTAACTAGTCTGTACTTACTCAGTCTGTCAACAATGATGGTATAGGAATCTGTGTCTGCCACAGCATGCTGCTATCGTAGGCATTAGCAATAACGGTTGTTAGATTTTAAAAAAGTAAGAAAATTTTTTACAGCGCATTTGAATGGTAGCAGGCGCTGAGAGCAATGTCTGACATCCCCCGCTGACGCTAGTGCACTTCTTTATCAGACGAAGGCACAGGATGCGCTACGCTGGAGAAGTTTTACTCTTTGCCTGCGCCATTCCCCCGCCGCATCCCTGGAAGCGGAGAGGCACCGCGGTCGCAGCCCGCCGCCGCCCGAGGGAAGTCATCCGGCAGCCGCCCACTCAGCCAGCAAGCACGGCCGAGCCCACGGCAGCACCTCCGGCCGCGCAGCAGAGCGCCCGGCGGGGAAGGAAAGAAGGAAGGAAAGAAGGAAGGAAAGAAGGAAGACAGACAGGCAGGCAGGCAGGCAGACAGAAAGGGCCGCACCGCGCCCCAGACCCCGCAAACAGCTCCACGGAACCAAGGGCCGCCACACGCGGTACGCCCTGCGGTACGCCTAGCGTCACGCTGTGCGCCTGCGCGGCCTGCGGCCCTTTCGCGCATGCGTTATGCGGCTGCGCTGTTTCCATAGCAGCAGAAAGCAACAGGGAGAGTTCCGCGCGCGGCCCAGCGTGCCGTGCGGTTCGGTGCCTGTCCGCTCGCCGGGCGCTGCCCGCCGCCTCGGCTTGCCCGCCACGCACGGGCCGGGGGGGGGGGGGC